TATATATATATATATATATATATAGGGCCCGATTCGACGGGAGCAAAGAAATTGAACCTCTGTGGTCAACACAGAGTACACAATCTAATTGTGCATACATACCTTTCAAGCAAGAACGCCACTGCTGTCGTTTAGTCCCCCTATCCTTCAATGCCTCCAACCAGCCAGTTACAGTCTTTCGGATCCCAACCCGAAAGATGGGAGGCACCGGTTATGCCTAATTGATCGGTGCATTTCTTTATGCCTCGTTTCCACGTCATCTGTTGATCCCCACGCGGTCTCTTCCAACCTGGAGCCGAAACTGCGAATAAGGCTCGGTGCGGAAAACGACGGATGGGCATGCGCAATACGTGCCCTAACCGGCGAAGCTAACCAATCTGTATTCGACGGGACAACGAATTCTATATCAAATCAATATCAGATACGCGATGCCTTACCTCACAGTTGCTTACACGCTCGCTCCATCCAACCCGCGCAAAATTACATAAACATCGGCAGCCGAAGACTTCTAGACGACGAATATCTTCCACGCGCAAATTTATGGTCTCGCAACCATAGGTCGGAACTGACCGTACATTGGCGTAGTATACACGACCTTTCGGTTTCAACGAAACATCGCGTCTGCACCAAAGATATTTCAGTCCTGCGTAAGCTGCTCGAGCCTTGGAAATGCGGGTGGTTACTTCATTAACACTGCTACCGTTATTTGAAACGCAGTTACCTAAATAGGTGAAACCTTCCATTACAGCTAATTCTTGACCATGAAGCATCAGCGCTGGGGTAGACGACACCCAATCCTTTAGCATCGCTTTGCACCTAGAAGGTGCAAAGCACATGTCGAAAGGAGTTACAGAATTTTAAAGTCTGTCAAGAGCGCCATGCGCATCGTCTGCACATTCAAACAGGCAAACGATGTCATCAACGTACTCTAAATCGCACAGCTTTTCTCTAGCTGCCCATTCAATACCTACGTTTTGGAGACCAATAAGTGCGTTCTCCAGTACCTCGCCTATGACGAAATTGAACAGGAGTGGCGAAATAGGGCACCCTTTGCGAGCACCGCTCCCGGTTCCTAACGATTTACTTAGCCCACCGTAGACCAATACGCTACCAGAATTATGCAGGTACAGCGACCGCAATAGGTTTACATACTTCCGTGGCATTCCTTTGCAAAGCAGCGACCCCATAAAAGCTTCGCGGTCAACTAAATCAAAGTATCGTTTTAGGTCAAGGAACACTGCGACTGTTGACCAACGATGAGCGTGACGCAATTCGAGTACATAACACAGAGTGAAGATTTGGTCGATGCAACCGCGACCTGTTTGGAATCCGGCTTGCTGTTCGCGGATATCCATCTCCCTTAAGAGTGACGGCAAAGTTTCACAGTAGTCAGCACTTTTGTGATTATATGGGACTCAACTAATCCTGCGGTGGTTAGCGTAGTCGTTGGGTGATCCATTCTTGAAGATCGGGACGATCAACGATACACTCCAGGACAAAGGGCTACGCTCCTCCGACCAAATGCTGCAAAGTAAGGTAGCAACGGAATCGACCAGAGAATCACCGCCCAACCTGAAAAGAATAGTAATAAGCCCAACAGGTCCCGCAGTCTTCCCTTTCTTCCATGTTTGTATGCAGCTTCTTCCAACTCTGATGGGGGCTCATATGTTACTAACAATGGGGTTTCCGCTTCAATAGCTGGAATGACCGCATTAGCACTGGGCCAATGGAACTGTTCAATAAAAAACTCTGCCCAGCGATTAAGTCGTTCGTTTATTGTGGATCCCCTGTCCACTTTTATCACAAATGGTCTCACTGACCGGTATGCGACGACCTCCGGTACTGCGTACCAAGGGAAACAGTCTTTGACTGTTCCGTGATGCAGGAGCTACCTCCATTTAACTAGTTATTTTGACCCACCAGTTCTCGTGCTCTTTCTTAAGGCTTTTCCTGAGTTGTCGTTGCAGGTACCGCCGGTTCCTATGCTAATCCTGGCAAATTGGGATCTTTCGCTTTTGATCCATCAGAATTACTGACTCCTGAGAGGTCTAATGCCCACTTGCATAAGAGTCCTCACGTTCAAGGCCCCAAATTGAGAGGTTGACGAGACTTCAAAATCTGCAGTTTATTTACAGGGAAACTGTTTGCAGTGATATTTGGCAACGACCTTTTGCGAGTGACGACCAAGCTGTCTGAGGGAGGATAGTGGTATCGATTTACTCCCAGGCGGCAGGCTGTCTGATCTAGAATATGCAGACGACATTGTGCTGCTAAACGTAGATCCAGTGAGTTGCAGGTTTTTCTGGACAGCTTGAATGCCAGTATAGCCATGTTCGGTATGCGTTTCGCATCCGAATTGTAAGATTTTACTCGAAGACAGGGTTGGTCCAGCACCCAGCCTCACTCTAACTTGGCAATTAATAGGGCAGGTGGATAAGTTTTGCTATTTGGGCAGCTACATCTCACCCGGTGGACACACACAGATGAAGTGTCGGCGTGCATACAAAAGGCTCGGCTAGCATTTACGTGGCGCCGTCGCGACATCCGGCTTTCTGTGAATGGTCGAGTGTATGCTGCAGCAGTTCGGCCAGTTCTGCTATATGAAACAGAAACTTGGCCATTAAGAAAGCAGGACAAAGATAATGTCGGTGTTTGAACATCGCTGTCTACGCAGCATTACACGAATCTGGTTCAGCAGCCGGACGAGCAATGCTGAGGTCAGGTGAAAAGTTTTAGGCAACCGCGGTCGTCCACTGGAGCAAGTGATCGACCATCATAGATCACGCTGGTTGGAGCATGTGTTACGCATGTCACCACGGCGAGCGATATTTGCGGAGACAGGTAGTTGGTGGAATAAAGCCCAGGGTGGTCAAGTTAAGACCTGGCATGATGGTATGAAAACCCTGACGAGGAGTCTGGGTCACATAGGCTCCGTTAGGCGCCCTGAATGGGGACCTCGGGATAATCGTCCCCGATGGTTATAGACACTGAGTGATATGACTGGGTGTTGTAAACAGTGGCGTTCGTGCATCTCAATTTTTCTGTATCATTAGTCCACTGAACTTTTCAATTCACTGTTCGATCCTACTTTCCTACCTTTCCTGTCTTTCTCCTAATGTTCATCCAATCGGTTAGCTGAAAGGTAGCAACCAAAACCGGCACACGAAAATGCATGGTTAATGGTTTTACAAACTGAACTGAACTGAACTGTCTATGGAAATGTTACGGGTCGGAAAAAGGGGTAAAGAGAGAGGTTCGGTACGGAAGACAGAATTAAACAAAGATTAGGATATCTGAGCAGGAGCCCACTTATCACTACCCACCCCTCTAGATGCAGTGAGCAGCGCTGTCCGAATTATCCTGTGCGATGACCGATGCAGTATGAGATTATTTTTAGTTTGTGTTCATTGGGACTTTATGGACGGGTACTGCCAGGGTGTCCAACCACTAAGCACGAGAACCGTTAGGGTTCTCAACCAAAGCCCTTAGTTCTGACAAGAACCTAGCCGCAAGGCAGCGGGCGAAGCGAAGTGGAGACCCATTTACTTGGATCAATCACTTTTCTACCATGTTTACCGACTGAAACGCCAATTATAGTCAAACCCTCAACCTGGAGGACCAAGAGACTAGACTATCTCCTATCCATTGACCTTCCAGTCGTGATAAGATCTTCGGCTTGACAAAAACCAGCCTGTGCAGCTATTCGGGTCAGAGAGGTGCACAAGCCATCACACGTCAAGGTGCAGTCACGTATACAGTTGGCGGAATTTCCTTATCACGTTCACAGTGTAATGTATTTCAGCTAGGTTTGGAACCACTGTACTTATAAGTAACTTAATTGTTTCGGTGTTCAGCAAAATAAGGAGCTTGTTCACCACCATTGTGTATTGTTTGAAATTTGCGCGTTTGGGCTGTTCAGACTTTTCCTTCTGGATACTTTACGGTAGACTCCAAGGGTAGAAACTGAAGGTTACGGATGCAGTAATCTATCTGTTATGTTACTCGTGAGTTGCAAAGTGACAATAAAGCAAAAATGTAATATGCATTATATCTATGCAAATAAGTGCTGATGTCATTCAGATAGTTCCGTTTAGGCCTAACTGTTATGTCTGAACGTGACAGACATAACTGGGGATCGTTTGAAAGCAAAAGACCGATCATAGAAAAGGCGCGTGAATTGTAGTTCTGGAAACGCACCAGCCACTTTTCAAAGTTCGTTCCAATGCCTGAATGTTGACGGTGAATAGCCTTTTCACAAGGAGTCATCGAGATGGGGATGGGAGGTGGGTGGGGAGTATACTGATATTGACAACCTGAGAATATGTAGAACGGGAAACTAACGACCTGGTGGTGTCTGTCACATTGGCTGAGTTTCTAAACTCGTTTCGATCCTTAGATTATGGTTAACGGCAAAAAAGTGCATCAAAAGACTGAAAATAATATATAATAGTAATATTCATGTATTATAATAGTAATAAGTTTGATGCCATTAGGACACCGCGATGAAAAAAACGGACTTCATTTGTATACTCATGAATGCTTCATTTATTTACTTGTTATTCTGCAAATCTATTTGACTTTTAGGTCCCACTTTTCCTTATTTCATTGGATCATGTTTACTTCTATGGATGTGTACGATGCAGCCTCGGTCATCGGTCACGAATGTCAACTGATTGTAAGCCAGTACGGACCGGAAATTGTGCAAGGCTTAATGCCAAAAGTAATTTCAATGCTTGAAGAACTGGAAAACTGCGCGGTGTATTGTGAAAAAGAAAAAGATGAGATTATACGTTTGCAGCAAATGACGGAGGAGTTGCGACAGGACTGTCGAAGCCAGGCTGCATTGAAAGAAAAGTGCGATCAAGTAAGTCAATCTTTTCCAAACGTACGCTTCTCCGTTACACTCATGCGTGATCGTCCTCTAGTAAATGCGTGTTGATAGTGGTCAAGTGGTTTAATTCGTTGTTTATGGTCTGCACTGAGGTCCTAGGTTCAAATCCTGTCATCACCACTCAGCTTGGGTGGTAGACTGCTTCTCTTTCGTCTGAGTCGATTCCACACAACCTATTAAGGGTTTATGCGATTCGCTACTCTTAATCCAGAGGCCTAGTTCACTGTTCGCTGTAGATGGAAACAAATCTGGATGACCATAATGTTCACCTGCTCTGTTTTTTTATTAAATACATTTTGGTGATAACTAACAGATGAGATGAATCCCATAATCGCGAAGACCTGCTGGTCAGTGATGGAAACTGGCAACCTAAACCCCCGGACCTGCAGTGGCCGACCACATAGGGCCCCGCTAAGTTACGCGAGGTATTGAATCGGATGACACTTAAGCTGCCTGCCACCAAAGTTGGGTGGCGGTGGCTGCGTTCTAACCTCATACCATGGAGCCCGAAGAACTCCGATGACAGTGACTAAACTACTGCGCCACTATAACTGCACCACCGCCACCACCAGGCTCTCAAAAGAACATCAAATTAATGCCGGTTAGTTGAAACCTATCACACATGAATTTGTTATTAGGATCCCATCAGGTTTTCATCAACGAATCCGTCTGGGTTGTTTTGGTGGCTCTCTTTTGCTTCTGCTTAGGTCCTAACGAAAAGCATTCTGGCATCTTTGTTATTCCTGTGTATATTTCTGCCTCGTATATATTAACCAATGCCTCAAATAGAGTTCATAGATGCCACCCTGAATTGAAAAGTTAGTTTATTTCACCCCCTCATCCGAACTCATTGTGCTACGTTGCTTGGGCTTTTCTTGCGAGAGTTCCGCCACTAGTGGCGTGAAAAGCTTCCTAGTATAGTATAGTGTAGTGTAGTATAGTACCACCAGATTCAAGCACTCCCCTAAATATGAATTGTCGTTTACCCCTACATGTGATCGCTTTTGCGAAATCGACATTTGGATACTACTAAATGTAATTTTTCACCTCGTGGAACATGATGCTATAATCGATCAGAACCTGGAGCAATTGGAACAGAGTTGGTATTGTGAAACACAAAAACTACTGGATGAAGTCACTAGTCTGGAGGAAGAAAACAACCGTTTGGCTCATCAATTGGCTTCCGAAGTTTCCGCCGATGCGGACGCCGCCGCGGCCGACAGCTCAGACCCAGGGATCGATTCAGATACCACTAGTCGTGCGAAACCCGGTGTGAGTTCCGTGCTAAGAGCTGCAGTCGAAGGCAAAACAGAGACCGTGTCCACGGCAATGCAAGTGGCTGCCAAAGCCATGACAGACAAACTACAAACACCCCAACCGGGCATACTGCCAATCGATATGATTTCCAGTGTTCTTTCGGAAACAGAAGAACGATTACAAATGAGTGAACAAGAAAGTAAGCGCTCTGTTTGTGTCTATAAACCAGTAAAGTAGTTCTATCCGGAACGGACAGGGGGAGGGAGGGAGGGGGCGGATTAACGTAATCCGTCACGCATACAATCAACTTTTAGTTCAACCCCGGTAAATTTCGCGGTCTGTTCTCACAAATATTTGCCTTCCATACACTCTATAACAGTTATAGTTACTCACATTGGTAGTTGTGATTGAAAGTGCACTGCGGGAACATTACCAGTTATCTCAATGATCAAAATAATTGCCATTTACTATATTGCATCTAGTCAGCTTACTCCGTTTTTTATAATGATTTCTTTATTCCATCCAAACACTTCTGTCTTCCCACCTTGATTTTCTGTTGCCGCCGGAAGAAAAAATAAAGTTATGGTGACCAGGGTTTTGTGTGAATCCCAAAAGTTTTGATTTTGATTTGACCTAGACACAGCAAAACTTCTTCACCTTCAACTCATGCCCCCTACGATTCCTCCTAAATCACAAGCGATAACGTGTCATTTAATTGTTTCTAAACCAAGATTACCGTTTAAGGCTATGCCTAACACGCAACACAAATCCATAATGTCATCTAGATTATAAACATGGTCGTCACGACGATGCTGTGTCGGTCAACAAGCCACCTTAGCCAGAACCCTTGAAACCTTCCATGTAGATGTATGCTGTGTCTCCGAAACACGCATACAAGATCCTACTTCAGTCATCTCCCTCCGTTCTCCAGATTCAGCCTCATCCTCAAGCTTCACTCTCCGTGTGTCAGGCGATTCGGCATCCGAAACTCGCGGTGTTGCTGGTGTTGGGATTGCGCTAAGTGTCAAGGCCGAGCGTTCACTTCTCGATTGTATCCCGGTTAACAGCCAACTTTGCGCCGTACGTCTGGATGGTTCAGTACGCGTCAGCAGCCACAGAACGAAGCGTCGATGCTTATTCGTCGTATCGGCGTATGTACCGACCGATTGCAGTTCACCAGAAATAAAGGATGAATTCTACAAGGACCTCTCTACTGCACCAAAGCGCTCGATCAACGGACATTGTGATAGTCGCTGGAGACCTCAATGCTCAAGTGGGATCCCTGGACGAATCAGAGAGGTTACTTGGTGGTCCGCATGCAATCCCAACCAACAGGACTGACAACGGAGAACGCCTACTCCAACTTTGTGCTGACCACGGACTGTTTCTGTCAAGCACGAACTTCTCGCACAAAATGCGGCACCGCCTTATATGGAGATCGCCAACCTCTTCACAGCGCTGTACTCAAATCGACCACATCGCCATCAGCCACCGCTGGAGAGGATCCGTTGAAGACTGCCGCTCCTACTGGTCAACACCCGTAGACACGGACCATGATCTGCTACGAGCGAGATTCTCCCTACGCCTAATAAACAACCGCAGAAAAGCCGCCGAAAACGGATGCTCACAATACACTGTCACCGATAGTTGCAAATCGGCCTTCGAAGCGGAACTATCAGATCGCCTCTCTACTCAACCATCAGCCGGAGGACTCAGTGAACATTGATCGGCAATCAAGGAAGCGATCCAAATTTCAATCAAAACAACGGCGAACTCTGGCGCACGATCAAAGCAAAAACGATGGATCTCCTCAACCTCGGTTGCCCTGATGGACGCTCGCAAAGCCATTCCATCGGATTCAAGATACGACAAAGCGCGCAAATCCCTTAAACGCCAGCTCATCAAGAGTCTGAGGAATGA